AGCGTAAACGTCGCAGATGTTTACCTGAACATGTTGCTCACATTGATTTCTCAAATTACAGCCACTCAGGACAATATCCAGCACCGGGATCCCCCATAATTGGCTCTTTCAGAGCTAAAGTGCGTGTAATACCAAAATGTTCCTCTTTACCCTTTCAGATAAGCCTCAATCAGCAGTTGAAAGGTGACTATTTTAAAACAAGATGGGCGACAAGTGATGCTCTCTCCGCTTTCCTAAATGCCGCTGATGGGCTGCCATTTTTTGCGCCTGCATTTTTCTAATTCTCAGCATAATGGAGCTCTTTTTTTTTTATTTTTTAATATAAGCCCCAAAAGGTTTTTTTCTCCGTTGATTATGGTGTTAGTCATCTAACTGCGTCTCTGACCCCGAGCCTCCCATTATAGGAGTCTCTCCAAATGGAGGCGGCACAAACATGTTATTGGAAGCGTTTCGAAAGTCCTGCAGCTGTTAATGCAAGAAAAACAGTCTGAAAAAAAAATAATGCATGTGGAGAAAGACAAGTATGTTTTTCCTCTGTTACGATAAATTATTGATAACATATCTGCCATAAAATGAAAATAAATAACATGTGTATATATATATGTAATTTTTATTAATATTTAAATATACATAAATACAGAAACATAAAATATAATAAAATGTATACCTTTTCTAAGAAAAATATTAAAATGCAATAATAAAAAGAATAAAATGTGGTTGATATTAAAAATCTATACTTTTTTCGTAAAAGTTACCTGCTATTGTATTATTTTATTATAATTTCATTATTTTATTTATATATGTTTACATTATAAATACACACACACACACACACAATAACATTATAATTAATATAATAAGATTAATATAATATTATTTTCTTTAGGAAAAAGTACAGATTTAAGGTGTAAAAAGTTACCTCATGTATTACAATATAAATTTAATTATTTTATATTTAATAAAAAAATATTATATTATTTATTATTGAATATATATTATTATATATTTTCATGTTTTTTTTATACCAATGCAGCCTGATTGGATAAGCCACTTTCATTGTCATCATATAGTTGGTACACACCTGTAACCGGGCATCAGTTATTGCTATATTATACCATATGCATATAGTCTCCGTTAGTTCAGCACATCTGTGCTTGTTTGTGCCGTCAAAAAGATGAAAAGCATGTTCATTTGGTATGGTTTCTCCTTCATAGTGTTAGTTGTGTGTACTGTAAACACCTGCTCTGGCGAGCAGAAGCGAGTCTCGGCGAGTGGAAAGGTTAATTGCACGAGTGATCTTCTTTGTCTCGTGAAGTAGCACGGCTCGTCAAAGCTTCTCTATTACACTCACGAGCTCTCGTCAGACGCGGCTGTCAGAAAATCCATATACGACTGCGCTGCAGGCCATCGCGTGTGGCCGCTGACGGTCACGGCTACACACAGTACGCGAGACACTTACACCACAGAGGTGAACTATAACCTCAATACATCACTCACGGCTAGGTTTTTGGTCCTTCGTCTTGAAGTACATCTGCCACCCTTCACATTTTAGCCCTTCTCAACTAGGGATGCACCGAAATGAAAATTCTTGGCCGAAGCCGAACAAAATTAAACACTGGGCCGAAGGCCGAATACCGAACACGGAGTTTTTTTCCCCATGTATTTTGCCAATTTTTTTTTTTCACCATTGCATAAATTAAAAAGCCAAAATGTGCTTTTTACTGTTTTGTCTTGCTTTTCAAAGAAGAAAAAATCAATTACAAAACAACAATTTAAAAATATATAACACTGAACATGTTTAACATTCTAGCAGACACTATACCAACAAAGCACAATTTAGCTTAAAATTAATAAGTTAGTAAAATAATAATTTTTGGCCATCAGACCCCCTTCTTGAATCAGGCATGTATTTTTTTTTTTTACTGTACAATTAAAAGCAGCCTTGCTGAGAAGAGACTTCTTTTAAAACATTAGAAAATATTACAGATCCTAATTTGAACACTATGTGTGAATGTTATAATAAATGTATTAAAACAGAGCTGTTGTAATGATTATCATTATTATTGTCTTACTTTTTATTTTATTTTACAGAACAACAGTAAAATGACAATACTAACATTTATGAATGTTGATAAGAGTTCTTTTTCTCAACTTTTATTTGGGCGGAACAGGAACAGGACAGGAAGAGCTCAATGCTTATTTTTGTTGACAGCAGATTTATAAATGAGTCTCATTACGAATACGTCGTACGTATCGCATTGTCACATGCCTTGTAAAAATTCATAAAAATGTGACTAAGCATTTGAACCCTGGTTAACAAGCAGATCTAATTGTTTAAGGCCATTTCGCGATTTCAATCATCATACAGTAACCAGTAACAATCACCCCTTCCACTTCTCATTGAAGACCGATGCAGTCCTAAACAGTCTCTGGCTATCGGTGCTTGTAATGATTTTTGCGTCTTTCTCCGACAGTTTAAATGCTTCCACACTGCTCACGTGCTTTTCGCTTATTCGGCCGAACACCGAAAGAGGTTTTTTTTTGCTATTTTCGGACGAATAATTTCAGTTGCCAAACATTCGGTGCATCCCTATTCTCAACTCTTCTACTCTTGTTTAAAGGACTGATCGAGGACTTTTGGCCTTTTGCTTGTTTTGGTCATTCAGTTTAGTGTTTACAGTGTAAAGAAGCAAAGCCAGGGCCGAAATAATGAGCAATTTAGATCTATCTTTTTTGCCAAAGGTATATTTGTGTATGTTCTGTCATACATTTATCATACTTTCTGTAGTTTTTATACTGTGAAGTTAAATCGCAAAGATTATTTTCATGATTATTCATACAGACCTACAAGAAAAAATGCATGTCCTTAACAACATGCTCTATAATTAATTTGTCACCGCACATTTATTTTTGTAGTTTTGCATTTTTGTTAACGTTAAATATTTTATTCATTATTTAATAAAAATATTTTATATTTTTATAATGTTTAAAATAATATTTAGAAATCAACTATTTCAAACTTAAAACCTTCAAACTTCAAGATTTTAAAAATACTTTAAACTTTTTTTGCCAGGATTTCTCAAGCCAACAAAGTTCCTCTTGATAAACTTTTTTATTTAGTTAAATATTTTATTAATTATTTCAGAAATGTTATTTTAAATTTGTATATTTATATACAGTTTTTACAAATGTAATTGTTTATTTTATTTATATTTTATTTTATAATTTCTGTATTATTTTATAACATTTTACTTTTTATTATTTTTTATTATTTTTATATTATTTTTTATAATATCCCAATATAGAGTCACTTTTAATTACCCCCAAATCAATGAAAATATTATGAAAAAATGTCACAATGCAGAAAATCCTGAAAATTAGAATTATTTTTCCCTCTATATAGAATTTTTTATTATTTTTATATTATTTTTATAATATCCCAATATAGGAGTCACTTTTAATTACCCCCAAATCAATGAAAATATTATGAAAAAATGTCACAATGCAGAAAATCCTGAAAATTAGAATTATTTTTCCCTCTATATAGAGAAAGTAAAAATTAAATTATTATTTTTTTTTTGCCTGAAATGTCAGTGTCTGTCTCCTACAGAAGGACATGCTTAAAATCTCACCGGAGCAGTTCCACCGGGCTCACGGTTCAAAGAACCATGATGTTTTTGATGTCTTGTTTTTGCTCTACCAAACAATTATGACCCATACTAACAAAAGTGGCGAACCTGTGTGCATTTGTGTTGTGCAAGTTGAGCTTTCATGACTTCAGAATGAAACAGAAAGTCGTCAGGCTTCATCCTCTCCACTCTCTGGAACTTCGCTTCAAGTGTGTTTATCCGCACCCGAGATTCAGGGGCTCGCCTGCCTGCCCATGGGCGGTTAAATAATTAATTTGGCGTGCATGCCTGACCATTTGATCATCTCCTCATATCGGTGCGCTTTCTGAATTTTATCATGTTCCCCCTAGAGAGCCTCTTCTCATGTCTTGTTGTGTCAAGCTTGACCTACTGCCCTGCAGAGAGAAAAAAGTGAGCGCCAGCGGAGGCCCGCCGAGAAGAGACGAGGTAGACAGCATCATAATTTGACGAGCCAAGAACAAACTGTGCTGGGTTCTGAGGAAAAAAAAAAAGAATTTTTTTTTATTTTCTAAAACTAGCGTAATCCACAAAGAACAAGCAGTAATGGTAGAAAAGATGACAGCTCCTGCTCTCCAGAAGCTGGAATAGCTAGGTCACGATCTATCGTCAGCGACTGTCAGTCCTGCATGTCGTTAGCTTACAGCTGGCATGTCTTACGGGAAACGTGCGTAGGGTTTTGGATGCTTCACCTGACAAGGAGCTTTCAAATCAAGGCAGAGTCGCAGGTACTTTATTATTCATTGGGCAATAAATGATTCAGAGTGGCATTGACGTGCACATTGTCTATGGTGTAATTACCGGCGTGCTGAAAAACAGCCACTTTCCATTTGCGCTGACGCACGGCGGCCCCCGTTTCTTGTCGACATCTCTATCGTAGCAGAACGGGTCACGAGCCCACTCCAGTCATAGTCCCTTCGCTCGCTATTTTACATTCGAATGCACTGGGAGTAACTGTTAAATTGCGTGTGTGTGGGTGTGTGTTCAATCACTCGGTAATTTAATTTAATTGATTTGCTGTTACAGTGGCCTTGTGACGAATTGGGTTAGCTTCACTTTACCTGCACTTACTGTTCACTATAGCTTGCTAGCAGCATGCAACTCTTACTATTTCTGCAGTATGAACATTTTTTGTATGGCATGCTAAAATGTGTAAAAAACACTGTAAGAGGCTATTTTCCCACAATGCAATGCGCTCAACTTGACTGTGCATTTCCAGTGTGAACGGGAAGGGATATCAGCTGTCATTATCTCTTTCTTGCCTCTTTTGACCAGTCTGGCAAAATATAAGGTGTTTTGGTGACAACAACAGCTGAATGCTAATCGTATTTTGCTTGTTTTCTTTTTCTTTAGCTCCACCCAGGTTCACAAAAGTACCTGTCGATATGATCGGCGTCTCCGGAGGTGTTGTATCCTTCGTATGCCAAGCCACAGGTGACCCCAAGCCAAGAGTAACCTGGAATAAGAAAGGAAAGAGGGTGAACTCTCAACGCGTCGAGGTGAGACTTAGCGTGCTAGCACTTATTCAGTATATCAGTTGAATAATCAGCCGTTTCTATGGTATTTCTCACAAAATGCCATTAAAAAGACATCTGGAACTGTTTTTTGGGTCAATCTGAAGTGTTTACATAGCATACATGTCTTAGCTTCTGTGTCTTATATTCCTTTCTTGTTTGCTGTGTTCTTTTGTCATAACACAGCTGGCAGCTGTAGTGTTGATCAATGTTTAGTGTATCTTAATTAAAACTAGCTCTGTATTTAACAACGCTGACACTATTCAACAAAGATGAAAAACTTCCCACAAAAAACAAAGATGAACACAAAAATAAGTTGGCGGTTCCGATCCACTCGTCGGCGTGAACCCAAGAGTATGCTCAAATTATCATCTTGGTTGCATTGAAAAGTCATTTCGTGAGGGGTTTTAATTAATTCATTTCCCCGAAGGCTTTGCTTTGATATTGATCTACACACACTTAGGACTGTGTGGCATCACTGGGCTGCTTCTCATTATCGTAGCCTTGAAAACTCACCCTCCAAAAAAGCGAAGAGAGTTTTGCCACTGGCTTAAAAAAAGAGCCTCGTTCCTCTTTGTCATTCCCTATTGATTCTAGTGACTGTTTCGCTACAATGACATCAAATGCGAAAGCACCGCAGAAGCCTAATTAACTCTCTTACATACTTTGAGCTCATAGCAACATCTAGACGTTGGAGGACATTTTGGCGCCTTAAAATAGGAGCACAACATGAGAAGGGTTAGGGTTAAGGGTCAAAAGTTGGGGATGCCAGTTGATCAATCCAAAACTTTGCAGCAGGGAAGTTACATGTCATTTACCAAGACCGTTCCCCCTTGAGCAACTAGGAATTAAGTGCCTTGCTCTCAAGGCACTCGGTAACTCTCCAATTCTGGGATTGAATTCACAGTCTTTGTGTCTTCAGGCCAGATTTTTAACTACCAGCCTACTGTTAATGACATTTTACCATGAAACATTTCAATGTAATATACCAACTCAATCTTTGTCCTCTCACACAGACAGTAGAGTTTGACGAAGGTGCGGGAGCCGTCCTAAGAATCCAGCCTCTCCGAGCACCTCGAGACGAGAACATCTACGAATGTGTGGCAGAGAACAGCGAAGGCGAAATCAGTGTCCAGGCTAAGCTGTCAATTATCAGAGGTAAGACTAAAGGTTGACCTTTTTTTTTTTTTTTTT